TGGATTAATCCCTGGTAATAAGGAGTAAAGCCAGGTGTTCTCTCAAGGCCTCCAAGGCTTATTAAGGACAAAACAGAGAACAAAGTTAACCATGAAGGCCGAGGAAAACAGCAGACAAGTGTGGAGAGGCATAAAGTTGAATTATTGTTTTATGTCGTAAAACAATATAATACAACATCTCACAGAGAGTTGTTTCATCCATCAATTAAAAACAACGCAGTGCAGGTTATATCCAAACTTACCAAAATATGTCTACCCACACAAACAGACTGAGCAAGGTCAACACTATTAAGAGAAGTTGCCTAAAGAGTCATGCTAACATGAGAGGAGCTGCAAAGATTCACATGTGGAGGGAATGCAAGCACTCTGCAAATGTGTGAAGCTGATAGACATACCCCAAAAGGCTTGTAGCTACAAACCACAGAATCAAATGTCATCTGGCAAAAAAATTAAAAAAAAAAATTACATTTTTTAAAAAAAATATATTTTCCAATTAATAATTTCATTCATACCACAAATATGCACCACTTTGTGTTGGTCAATAACATAAAGTCCTAAAGATTTTAATGCATTTAGGACATAAACTCCTGTGAAGGAGCTTAAAGGTTTCTCAATACTTTTGCAAAGAGCTTTAGCTGCACAGGCCTATATAACACTACTTTGCAGACAAATGTCACCATTCTTTATTATACAGACTTTTATAGAAATATGGACACACCTCTGTGTGCATTTGAGCAAAGGCTGCATTTCTAACAAAGCCTTGGACATTGCTCTGATAAAAAAAAAGTTGACTGCATTCATGTGACAAGGAGTTAGGCCTGATGGCTTTACACTTTTGAGAAGACTGTCAACTATTTCAACATAAACCATTTAGGTTTTCCAGCATCAAGAATAGCTATAAACTACAGGTTGTCATGTAATTGCAAGAGCCACTTTAAAAAAGGAAAAAGGGATAGAAAATCCCATGCTCTTAGAAAAACAAATCTCCACTTCTATTTCATTCAGTCCAAATGAGGCAAGAGTCAGGAGTCTGAACAGTATGAAAAGCTTAAGCGCCAGAAGCCAAACAGAGTTAGCATATGACAAGAGCATAATATCCTTGTTTTGTAAATCTGGATCAGAGGTGAAAAACAGACCAGAGACGGAAAAAACATTTCACCAAGTGGAAAATATGCAGTCTCTTGTGTTGTACACCCAATTGAACAATTTCCACTTTTATACTTGGTGAAGATTCCACCTATTAGTTTATTGTTAGATTCAATACATAGCATCTGTCACAAACTATCTTTATCAGGTGGTTTTAGAATAGCTATAATCTTCAGAATAAAAAAGAAAGTCAGCGACAGAAATGTAAACGATGGAGGGAGATGCGCATTTTGTTGCTGGAAAAACAAAAACTATTTTGAGTTTCTGTCGCCAAGTCAGATTATTATAAGCAGCTTTCGGGTTGTTTTTTTTCTTTTTTTCTAAAGTTGCTTACAAATTTAATGAGTTTCAGTTTGTGCTTTTTTGGGCTTGTTTTTGAACATGAAGTTGCTCATTTGGGCTTGGAAATAAGCAGAGACACATAATAAATCCCAGAAATTGTCAGTCATCCAGTTAGTTTTAGTTAGAATCTACCTGTCCATAATTTCCCGGATGTGTCTTTGTTAATGTCAAGTTAATATATTACCTCTGAATAAAATTGAGCTTCGCGTTGCGCTACAGAAAACCGCAAACATCAAGACTAATATGAACAGCGCAATAAACATGAAAATAGCCACGAATGAACGAGTCCCTAAAGTTGTACAACCTACCGCCATTATAATTATCAATTTTAAGTGTCACAAATCTGTGCATCAGCCGTCTGAATTGTGGAGCCGCAAGAGGAGCGCTGTGCACTGCACTCTGACAACCGTAAAGCAGAACCTGGAGGCTGCAGGTGGGGCCTTGAAAATCCTTCTTAGAGTTTTCCAGACAATAGTGGAGCACACGAAAACACACAAATTACTAACTTTTTTGTGTACTGTTGTAACCACTAAAAAAAAAATCTCCTCTTCAGTTCAACTTTATAAGTGGAGACACAATGTTGATGTACTCATTATAAAATAACTTGCAATTAAGTATTGGCAAAGATCAATGTAATTTTCACAGGTGGCAGAGTGTTGTTGTTAGCAGCTGCTGAAAGTAACTAAGAAGTTACTTTTACTGTCACATAGTTACTTTCCAAATCAAGTAGTCAGTAATCTAACTAAGTTACTCCAAGGAGTGATCAGTAATCTGATTAAAATTACTTTTTCAAAGTGACTATGCCGTCACTGCATATTTAGCGATATATAGTTTTACCCTTCTGTGGTCTGTGCTTAAAATGTAAGCACACAATATACAAAAATAAATCTTTTTGGAAAAACAAACATTACCCAACCTTTTGCATGACTCAAAACTTCTTTCCTCCTTGACAGTAATACCAGGCACCGAGTTTCAACATCATTAGTTTACCTTTTCATTATTCAGAGTTGTGCTTCTCCTTCCTTTCATCTCTTATCTACCCTCTCTCTCTCTCTACGTAGACTTTGCCCCTCTGGTCATTTGCAGCACAGGAAGCAGATCAATAATCAGTTCAAATGTACTGGCTAAGTGCTTACCTTGGATACTGGGGGCCATTCAATCCAGCCTGGGACTCGCATCTGCCTGCAGTAGAGTCAAGTTTCTCATGTCTGTGGAGCTCAGGGGCCTTCTGAGAAACACATTTGAAAGTAGAAACAGTAATTCACAATATTAATCGTTATGCATTCCTGTAAATGTGATGTTCTCGAACAACTTCGTAAATATTCTAGCCAGGTTTTATTCACCACCATTCAAAATGGAGCTTCTTTCAAGAGGATTTCAATTCTAGGGAATCCAAAATGCACAACGTTGCAAATACAGTCTGACTTATAAACTTTATAAAGTCTGTAAAGTCGGCATTGAAAACAGTTGGTCCAATTTCTTCCCAGAAGAAGCACTTTAAATGTCAGCTGGATCTGACATTGTAGTGATTCTCGCTTCTGCATCCACAGCGCTGTGGACCAACTAGCCACAGCCATGCGTGACAGGCCGAACAGCTCTCTCTCTGCGGCGTTCAGACCAAAATTAATCAGTTAATTACACGCGGTAATGATGCGGGGTTTTCATCAATATCCTTGTTTAACCTTTACGTAATTTGTACAACTTTTCGTCAGACCAGTTTTGTGGTCTCGAAGCCGCTAGCTCCAGTCTGAAAGTGACGCAAAGTCCCACTTTTAACCGTCGCCGACTAAAACTCGACTTCGAAACAAACCTTTAAAGAATTCCTAATGATGCGCTGTCTATCAAAATGCGCCAGTCTCGACTTAAACTCTCACACCAGTGTTTAAAGTGCTCCGACACCGCCTCACCGTTTCAAACCAGACGAGACTCACCGAGCAGCGGGCTCTCCATCCCGGTCTGGACTCACCGAGCAGAGCCACGAACCGACGCAAAGATTTGGACACCGAACCGTTTAATAACGTCCGCCAGCTCCACGTACAAAGCAGGGCTTCTCGCCTCGTTTCGTCTCTCCCCCTATTGACAAGCCTCTGTCAGTTCCTTAAAGAAAAAAAAAAAATACTGGAGAGTTTTTCGTTCTCAGACCAGAGCAATCAAACCCGCAGCTGGAACGGCCGAATCGTTCATCCTCGGGGCATTGACGATCGATATTTCGACAGAGCGATTGGTCGAGCCTGTAACAGATGATGAAGATGTAAAATGCAAAGTTGCTTTACTGTTACTCCGTATTGTTGAACGCTCCACGTTAAGCAGTCAATTCACGTCAATGTTTTTTATCTGAAAAGTGAGACACCTCTTGGAGTGATTTACTTTAAGCGTTTAGTGTGCTTATATTTGGGTGGCTATAGGCTACAAAAATTAAAAGACCCACATTTTAGCTTTAAAAAGTAAATAACCACATTTTTAGTTGGTGTCACATTCTGTGTACTAAGTTGCACTGCTGGACCAGAAGCAATCTTACCTGGGCCAAGAAGAAAATGAACTGGATTGTTCATTTTTCACCACTTCACTGATAAAAGTACATTTTGCACTTTATTTAAAAATGAAGGTCCGATTACTTTTCGTATTGGTCTTCTGCAAGGTTTTACTTTCTGAGAAACTGAATAGAAAGGCAGAGTTTGCAAGATGCTGGAAGTTCAGAGTGAGGCTTTTACAGGCAGTCATAATTTGGGTAGCCTTGTAGGGTCATACATCTGTTGGTCCAAAGTCACAGCAGCCATGATCACATCAGACTTCCTCCTTCAATAAACTATATAGAAATTCTTCCCTCCCTGCCAAAAGTTCCAGCTTACTGACCATAAAAAAATTGTCTTCATCATCATCTTTGGACAACAAACTGGCCTAATTTAACAACCGTGAAGAATTTATGAGGTTTTGCAAAGAGGAAGATGAGAGAGGATGCCCAGCCCAACAATACATGCCAGTCTACCTAATAAAGCTATCGGACCTTCCTTAACATCACAGCAGTGTTACATGCTGCCCACCTTCATACGACGCTGCACTGATTCAGTATATGCAACTGGGATCCCAACAGAGTATTGAAAGCAAATAAAGTACTTAATTTTCAGAAGGAAAAAAATCTCAGTATAGTAAACATTTTGTTCTATTGCATGTTTTCCTTCCATTCAACTTGCCATTTGTATGGATGCATAGAAAACACTGTGAACAACAAGATTCATTACTGATCTATTGTGGCTTACCCTTCCTGTGGAGTACCGTATCAGTCAGTTCTCATATCGGTCTTATGCAATGTTTTATTTTCAAAGAAACTGAATTTTAGTTGTTGTTTTTTTTTTGTAGGTGTAAGCAATAGTTATAGTTAAAACAATTCCTCAGTTTAAATAAAACTTATTGCATTCATAATGCAGTGTAATTATTATGTCTAATTAGGCATGAATTGTCTGAGTGTAAGAGACAAAGATCATTTTAAAGTTTGACAATTTATTGATCAAAAGTCTTACATGATAAACAATGATTTTTGACGTGAATGACATTCAACATGTTCAAATGAAGCCTAAAAAGATATGAAATCATGCTGTTTTCTTGCCATCTAGTGGTTTTTGATGGCAACTGCACTAGTAACTTCCACAATCAGTTTCAGTTTACGGCAGCATGACATGTTTGTTTTGGGACAATAAAACCAATCCCTTTTACAACGCTTAGTGAAACTCTGCAAGTTAGTTCAGAGTTCTCAAACTTTTCATTTCACCTTAGAAAACACCAATCTTGGACATCTTTGAGAGCTCAATCAAACCAAAATTGATGATGTACAATTATAATACGACACTAATTACTGCTTGGTAAGCCAGATTAGGTTTAGCTGACTTTGGAGAAGTGTTCAGTGCAATGAAATGGTTGAGAATCCGCACCTATGTTAGAATTAATCAGAAATCTGTCAGAAGGTAATAAAAACTTTAGTACAGCAGCACAACTCTGAATCAAGTTTTTGGCCTTTTTAAAAATAATTTTCAGTTCTTTCGTCATAAAATACACATCTTCTGTAGATCATTAGCACATGTTTGGCGGGAGGACTCAGCTCAGGAAAATACAGTTTTATGCAGTGGCTATGCTTTTACTGTAAATTTTACTTTGCAGTAGAATTTACATTACATTTTCATTTCTTTTTCCTAGGAAAAATAAATTTTCTGAAATTTTGTTGACTCAAATATGAAGAAAATGATCTTTTCCTCAGGTACATTTCCAGTATTTTTCCAACATTTGGCCGTGTCAGAAGTTAGATTTTAATCTTATTCCTATTGCCTAAAAAAACATAATTTTTATAGTTAGTCATGTTTTGTGAGCTTTGTCCTGTTCTTTTAAGGACATAAAGATAATTGATGAAAACTTTGACAAAATAAACCCTGGTTCAGCAACCAGTTCCAGTAACAATTAAAGCACTTAATCAGCCCATATTTTTTAACTTGTACACTACAAGTTATGAGAGATACTTTAGTGGACCAGGGCAGGAACCCAAAATACCACCAGTGGTGGCACATCAACCACAACCATGACCTGTGTTACAAAGACAGTTTGACATGAGAGAAATGATTAAGAGAAAAACCTGAATCTCTCTGATTGCTTTTCTATTAAGTTCTTGTAGCGAAAATCAGTCATAGCTTCAGATGTGACTCCTGTCACATAACAGCTTGATGGAGAAGGCAAGGTCCACTGTGTAAGCTAACAGTGTGATACTGGAAACCACTGTTTCCATGATGACCACTTTGAGATTATTTGGGTTGGATTCCGTCTCACTCAGCTGCAGTATCTTGGTCAAACAAATAATAGTGGCCAACATGTAGAGCAGCACCCCAGTCAGACTGAAGGCAGCCAAAAATCTGTCAAAAGGCAGGAGGCATCGCCCAGCACAATCACCCAGTATCACCACCAGGATGACGAGCGACATGAAGATGCAAATGCCATATGAGACGCAAGATATCCAAAATTGCCAAAGTACTCCAGTCGTCAAATTGGAGACTGTCACCAGCAGGGGGATCATCTTCAAGCCCCCCCAAAGTTGGATAATCTTAAGGAAACCAGGCACGGTGCTTATGTAGCCTCTCTGTTCGTGCGCTTGGGTGCGAAGAACACAAGATTCGGAGACATAGGCCGTGAGGGTGAGGCCAGAAGCCACTGTAGCAGCCAAAGCGCGTGGAGATACTGTTCCGTGATCCATGACTATCCAGGGAAAAACCACAGTGGAGCTGAGACTCATCAACACTCCCAACAGTGCCACCGTCATGGTCAGGTTCTTCCAGGATATTGGGATCAGGCTGTGGAACTGGATGATGCTGATAATGTGTATGAGGAGAGTGATCACAAAGAAGAAACACCAGGTAAACATACAAAAGATCCTGAATGTGTCCGATGAAGGATCAGATGAACTGTTCGAGTTTTTATGTTCCAAAGAGGCCACAAGACTGAAGGCTGTGCAGCTCGAGAAGACTTCCAGTGTTCGCAGCAAAAACAGTGGACTGGTGAAGTCTCGCGCTTCCAAAACGATCACAGGCATTCTCACCTTGTTGAATGTGTGCAATCCAATATCCACAAGACAGAGCTTTGACTTTGCAAACAATCCTGGAGATTCCGTTTTTTGAAAAACAGTGGGGGTCCACAGCTCAGTCCTTTTAGCTTTTAGTGGTATAATCACCCAAAAATACAGCAAAAAAGAGCTTTAGAGTCTTCTCCAGCAGTGTTCATAAAAACAGACCATTAAAATAGAAAAAAGCCAAGAATAATTTAAAACCTCAAATTCCTTTTTATTTCTCTCCACCACGAGTCATCTTCTTATTGAAACAATTCAGAACTGCACCTTTTGGAATATGTTTTGAAGCAGTGGTGCAGTAAAAGATGAACCTCGCCTACTTGCTTACTTCCTTTTTGAGGTTGCAGCAGTGCACTTTCAGTAGGTGCACATAACCACAATACAAGGCAAATGCAAACATAGCTGTCATCCTCCTACCTTCAGTTCTCATGAAAAGCAGTTCCTTTGTTCTCAAGCAAGAGTAATAAACTTGACACCACACCAATTAGGTAAAATATGATATTACACATGGAATATTTGTTTCAGGACAAGATTTGTTGGGTGCTGTCACTCACTTAAGTGTCGCTTTGCAAAATCAGTTTGTGGGTGTGTGCTTGCTCAATTCCCCAGAGAGAAGAAGATGATCAGGTGCAGAGCATCTGTTTTCCCTTTGCAAATTTAGGCATGGAAAAATGTTTGAGCTATCTAAATGGAAACAAAGCGTGTTTCAGGAGCAAGCTAAAATGTGCTATTTTCTAACTGCATGCAGGCATGAGGCCTTAGTTTTCTACATTGTGTTGTGACTTACATTCACTGTGGAAATGAATGAGAGATAGATTGATAAGTACATGAAAGGAGGCAGTGCAACTGCTTTTTTTTTTGGCAAGTTGCCTAATAATGTGTTGTTCCCCCCTTTTGCAACCAAAACAGCCCAGACGAGCCAAGGCAGGAGCCCGACTAGGGCTCTTTAGACATGCGTTGCGATCTGGCACTAAGATGTTGACAGAAGATTAGTGAAGTTCTGTGGATCAGACTTGTTTGTCCAGCACAAACAGATAGATGGGCGCCTGGCTAATTATGACGACTCAATCCTGTTGTTGTGCTCCCTAAGCCATTCCTGCAATATTTTTGCTTCAAACTTCCTGGTGGCAAAAGCAATATAATACAAAAGAAAACATGACTCATCATCAGATAAGCTTATGTTATTCCATTGGTCCATGGCCTACTTCTCATGCTTTTGTGTCAACAAATTGCACTGTGTTTTGACAACTCTCTATCAAAGCTAGCAGAAATGTCTTCAGTAGTTCGAGGGACAATCAAGTTTTTTTCCTATAGCACATTTCAGAAAAAAAATCATCATAAACACATAACAGTTGAGAAAAACAATAAAAGACATTACATTTTGTCAAGTGCAATCGATACAATCATCAATGCACAACACACAGTAGCTCATCTGTTCAAAAAGCCACACGACCAGCCTGTGCTGTAAATGTGCATCAATCAAACATAGTTACTGACAGTCCTGTCAGCTCACTGTTGCTCCTCTTCCTTTGAACCACTTTTAGTAGCTCCTGTCCTTTGTATATTGAGAATAATCCACAGTAGCAGCAGCTGCAGAGGCTCTCCAACATGGTCTGCTCTTGAAAAGAAGAACCACATTTGACTCACTCAAATCCTTAAGGTTGTGCATCCCAGATTCTTATTTCTTAATCCCGAATATTCCACCCTGTAAAAGGTAAAGTAATACCCTTTATGCCAGTTGTCAACATGTTATGCCTGATCAATGTATAAGATCACAAATGCTCTTCATGGAAGCAACAGTGTTTAGGGATTTTATATTTATTTTCATAATTTGTATTTATTTGCATGTTATTTTAAAACTCTGTCTTTCTTGTGGCCTCTCATGTCATCTAAGTGATGTGTTGCCTTTCCCAGAATAGCACTGAACAGAGAAGGTCTCTGAATTATAACTGTCATAAATACCAGCATCTAAGTACCAAAGATGTCATCAACAATTTATCTGACTGGGTCATTGCTGCTGTGGCTGCAGCATGATTTGTAACCTTTCAATGGGGCCAAGTTGCTTTATGTGTAGACATTGAAGCATTTAACACATACTGTAAAGGAGAAATGCAGTATGATTTACTGCATCCTGTGACAAAGAACCCACTGCATGTATGACTTAAACTCTAGATAAAAGGCCTTATCTTTATGTCGTTGAGTCAGACTATATTTCCAAATTAACAAAATATTGTTTTTGGATGGCCTCACATCATTTTCGAATTAAGCATCAGTTTAATAGAGATTGGAAAACAATAAGAACAAAACATTTCACAAATAATTGTAAAATGTTTTTATGTAAAACAAAAAAGAAAGCTTTTGTATAATTGCTGATTAAACAGCAAGATAAATAGATGTGAAATAGTGAGTTATGATATGAGGCATTCAATCTCGTTTCTTCTCTTTCTCACTTGAGATTAGATCTCTTTGTTTTGTCATTTTAGGTCACAGGAGGATGTACCAGAATAGTCAAGCAATTGCCCTCATGGTGCTTGGTGGTTTAAGATTTGAGGTTGATTTTTGAATATCAGCAATACTCACTGGGAAGTTGCTAATGTGAACAATTCTTTCTGACAATAACTTTAATTCAGATTAGAGTAGTTTTCAATCAAATTACGTGGCCAAGATTCTATCATTAGAAACGGATGAAAAATGTGCTTTCGAGTAGGATGCATTTGCACGCTTGCAGCAGTGACGCAAAATGCAGTTCCACTGTATGGAACAGGAAATCTCAGAAGCCTCATTTCATGTGAATGTTTTTGTTCACCCACCTCCTTCTGACGCTGCTAGACTTTCATTGAAAATTAGATTTTGATGCTCAAAACTCAAATTTGAAAGGAATTAAGTGACTTTTTTTTTTGTCTTTTTGGTTAACTCAGAGATCTCTATTACTTGAGATAGATACCTCCAATATAGAGTTTTAATGTTCATCCAAGCACGTATGGGTTTATCCAGTGGGCTAATACTTACTGCTGCAGCAAATCAGTGTGCATGTCAGGCTAACAGGGAATTTTGTGTGCCTGGTTGTGAGGTAAACAGGGTAATAAAGGCAATTTTACCTCTACTGGGCTTGTGTAGTGCATTTGTCTGTTCAAGGGATATGACATTTTAACATTATACTTTTGTATAAGTTGCGGAGTCTGTCATTTTGAGTACGAGAGTAAAAGTCAATGCCATGTTAGCATTCAGTGACTTAGATCTTGAAAGTTTGGCCATTCCAAGCTAAAAATCAGTACAAAAAGACAGACTCATTTTTTTTGTTAGAAAATGTTGATAATCTGAATAACTGCATGGATATTTTGTGGCTTAAATATTCATAATGGCTATTTCACACAGTAATATTGAGGATTTGGAGATGCTAAGTAGAAGAACATCTCAGTTAGTTGAAGGTTTACCCATTCATGACTTGAGGCTGTGCATTAGTTATGTTTTTAGGCTTAAGAATTGATAAAAATACAGGACATAAAATCAGAATGAGCATGCTGAAAATTTTAATTGGGGAACCAAATTAATTACATGGTTTGTACCAGTGATGTTCCAAGAAAACATACTTTTCAGAGTACATTTTCTAAGCCAGTGAAAGGTTTGAAATAGTACACCTTAAAAAAACTGGTGGGGAACCAGCAATGAACCTCATAAACTGAGGAGACAGTGGAAAATGACATAGTGTTAGGGTGAGTTAATCAGGGAATTAGGAACAGTTATAGGGGAGATGAAAGAGGGAGACTGAGTGAAGGTAAATAATTAACACTGATAAAGCTAAGACAAAGAAACTACAAATCATGGGGAGAAAGACAGACACTGATCTATAATAATACATTCATAGGAACAAAGAAAATAATATGAGAATACACAAAGTGAATTAATATGGCAACACATCTTAAGCAACGATGAATATAGAAGGATCAACTAAACGAAGAATTGAGAAACTGTGTTTACTTGGGAAACCCAAATCAGACCCTTTATTTCTCTGAATCTGAGAACAGTAATAACAATTCTTGTACAGCATCACCATCTTGTGGGCATTCTGGTCATGAGTTATTCCTTGCTGTTTTGCTTGTTTCTGAATGATTTTTTTAAAAGTCTTTCTGTTTTAAGAAGTGAAACTTGGTCGTTTATTCTAGTAGTTCGCTTCTACATCAGCATGTATGCTCTCTGTAGGAGTAATCAGTGTGAGGTCTGGATAACAGCTTTGCATTTACTTATATGCCAAGCTGTCAAAGCTAACATGTAACTCATGAAAAGATATTAATTTAGTTAATATTGACAGAAATTAAATGACATCAAACTTATGCATCGCTTTTCAACCCTGAGAGGGTTCTCAAAGAAGCTTGACAAGAAAATCAGTCATTTACATTCATGCACACATTCACAACACAGATGACAACAAACGACTGGATTGGAGTTACAGCTGTTATCTAGCAAAGTTTCAGTGGAGTGTGGCTGCCATCTTGGATCTTCTCAGTTGCAAAATGAGAAGATGTCCTACTGACCACCAGCAGCAGCCAAAGTGGGTGAAGTATCTTGCCCAAGGACAAAATGGCAGAGTACACAATTTTTCATATAATTATGTAGTATTTATGTTGAAATGAAATTCAGTTTTTCTTTTTTGATATATTTTATATTCTGTCTTTGTGTGAATCTACTAGATATTCTATTCTATTCTATTCTATTCTATTCTATTCTATTCTATTCTATTCTATTCTATTCTATTCTATGACTTAAACATTTAGGAAATTGCCCCATTATCCTGCAAGATGAACAAATGGTAACAACTAAGACTATTAATGCACGTTTTCCTCCCTGACACCATGTTCATCTGCATCCAAATGCTCCAAAGCAGACAAGCAGCAGAAACATTTCATTTATAGTAGTGCTTATTCTCGCTGATGGTCAAGTTAATAAATTAATTCAGTTAACATCTATTCTCTTAAATTCGTCAGAAGCAGAACTGTGCACTTTATACAGATAAGGGATCTGCTGCCCTGAGTCAAATTATCTTTTCACCCTTGTGATACTCTCCATTTATGGATTTATTTTGGTGTGATTTCCCAATTGACACAGTTGACTCATAAAAACCAACTGCTGTTTAACAACAACAAAAAAAAAAAACCTCTAACCAACCTCTTTGTTTTCAAGATGACTAGAGATATTGTGTGAACGTGAGGTTTTAGCACCTCTGGCTTTCATGTTGCTGTTACAGGAAGTACATGTGTTCTTGAGCTTAGGGGCTCTGGCT